TGCTAGGAGTCCAGGAATATGCCAACACCAAGCTAAAGCTTATTTTTAAAAAGACAAAACAAAACAAAACTCCAGCATTTGGTATTCGGCATCATAAATTATCTCTTCTTTCTTATTTGTGTTTGTCTCATTTCATCAGATTTCAATCCAACATTTTGCTTTTGTGATCAGTTTCCTGTACTTAAGGTATTTGGAAAGAATTTTCAAGACCAGGCTGATAACCTTGGAGTATATTGTACAGGCTCCTACTGAGAAGTGTTGCTTTTATTTTATTTTTTTTTAAGTGTTGCTTTTATACTAAGGGAGCACCAGGTTGCTGAGCTGAAACTTATAGACTGACTTTCTCCTACCTGAGGACTGGTTCCTTATATATACATGAAGGAATTGGAAGTGCTTATCTTTCTCCTGTGTTTAAACATAACCTTTTTGCATAAGAGAGCAGCATCCAGACTACACTTAGAAGGTCTGAGTTGGATATCTGACTCTGCCTTTGTGGTCTTCAGCAAGTTCTTCAGTTTTCTCATATGTATAGGGAAAAACTATTCCTCTCTTAATGTTGGCATGATCTTTAATATAACTATGACATGGTCACATACTAAAGTGTTCATTTATTGTTATTTACAACTCTATGTGTGAGAAATGTATAGATGAAATATATCTATATATTATATATAGATACACATTATAGAGAGAGCTACTCTCCACATATATATGTACATGTGTACATATATATATATATGTATATGTGGAGAGAGAGAAGCACAATATTGTTACTTTCCATGCTTCATCATCTGTACCAAATTTCACCAATGCTGGAGTGCTAAAGTGTGACAAGGTAATGCTTTGATCTCTGTCACCATTATTCTGAGAATTGTAATAGCTTTGTGTGATTCTGCTCTCCCCTTCCCCAAGTGCTACTCAGCACTTTTTTTTTCTGATGGATTAAAAACAAAATCACAGTGAAATGAGCATATATCATATGTCTTCTTTACATTTTAGTTCAACAGAATATCTAAGTTAAGGTAATTTATTGTTTGGGTAAAGTTAACTTTAAACTTTAAAAAAATGACCTTTAAAGAATATTGAAGATAGCTGGGTGCCGGTGGCTCACGCCTGTAATCCTAGCTACTCAGGAGGCTGAGATCTGAGGAACGTGGTTCAAAGCCAGCCCAGGCAGCAAAGTCCATGAGACTTTTTATCTCCAATAAAACGACTAGAAAACCGGAAGTGGTGCTCTGGCTCCAGAAGTAGAGCGCTCGCCTTGAGCTGTAGAGCCATGGGACAGCGCCCAAGCCCAGAGTTCAAGCCCCAGGACCGACCAAAAAAAAAAAAAAAGAATATTGAAGAAAGAATGATTCTATAATGACCTTTAAAGAATATTGAAGAAAGAATTAGTCTATAATTCTTCGCTGAATCCCAAGAACTAAGGCATCATTCCTGTCTCTGGATTGAAATCTGGCCAAAAGAGACAAATGCAAATCAGAAACACAAGATGTTAAGGGTGCTGAAAAAACCAAATGTAATTGCTAAGATAACTTAAGGGAGTAGTTGTTCCAAGTTTGCTTAATTTCATAGCAGGTGCTGCTTAAGTTCAGTCCTTGAGGGAAGTGTAGCTTGAATTTGGTGGAGATTTTTAGGAATGTTTTTCTGTGAAAGCATAGGGGAATTTATGACTAGATGCTATGTACTGAGGTGTCAAGGAGCACGTGGCTGGTCAGTCCTTGCATTCCTACCCAGATACTTTTTAGTAAACATCCAACTCTGCCTAATTTTTTTGTATTTATTCTGACCTGTGCTTCACACCACTGGAAGTGTCCAGGGATTTAAGGTGGGCAGTGGCTGTTGGTCTTTTTCATGCAACACCCTCTCTCTTCTCCTGAGTTCTTCCAGTGCTTTTGTAAAACAAGACACAGATTTCTATGCTTTTCATTCCTCTTCTTTCTGAAACACGCACATATACCCACACATACACATACTAGTTTTGTTACTGCAAAAAGGAAAATAGAGATTAACAATAGAGAAAAACAAAAATAATCACAAAAATAATCTTAAGGCAGCTCCTTGGGTCTGTGAGAAATGCTTGTGGAAGTTTCTCCTAGTTCTGGTGTCTGACTTCTTTCTTCAGCAGACCCAGAGACTTGAACCAGAGTTATCTGGTTCCCCTTGAGCATTTCCCCTTCTCTTTTTTTCTTAAAGCTGTATAATTCCTTAGATTGTTCTTCAGCTCATTCCAGCCTTGCTGAGCCTTGGAGCCTTAAGTGAGGTCTCCAAATATTCTTCTCTTAGTTTTATGAGATCAAACCTGACCCAGCCATTGTTCTTTTCTCTTTTGTAGGAATGTGGTTTTGGGCTTTGTGTTACAAATTCCTTCCTGGTTCAAGTCTTACTGTCATCTAAAATACCTTGGTAATGAGAACCATTATCCTGTTTTATTTTGTAAACTCTTTTTTTTTTCCTTTCATAAGTTTTTAAAAATTGTTTTTGAAAAATATAAATACATTGTTGTTAAGGTATTATACAGAGCAGTTACCATTTTCTAAGTCAGATAATGAGTGCATTTCCTTTGGACAATGTCATGTCTTCCCCCACGTTCCTCCTCCTGTCCCTGCCCACAAGTTACATAGATCATTTTCCCCACATACTGTACAGCATGATTACATTTGTTCACCATTCTTCCCTCCCTTTCTGAACTCTTCCCTTTCCCCTCCCTTTTGTCCCCTTTAAAATGAAAAAAAAAAAGCCAAAAGCAAAAACAAACACCACCACCACTATCAACAACAACAAAAAGAAATTAATGTTTGTATTTCCTGGAATTCATTTTGATAAATAGTATTTTTAATGTTTAGAGAAGTTGTACCTTTGGTTTCCTCCCCTAAGTGTATCCTCCTTTATTCTGGCTGTATGTGAATGCCTAGAGTTTTGTATAGGTTATCACATCTAGTTATACTTTAGACCTAGCTTCTACATATGAGAGAAAACTTGTACTATTTGTCTCATTGAGCTTGGCTTACCACATTTAACATGATTTGTTTTAGGCCCATCTGTTTTCTGAATATGACTTAATATTATTCTTTCTAATGGGCTGTGTAAAATTCTATTGTATATCGGTACCACTTTTTTTTGTACTCACTTAAGTTATTGTAGGACATCTGGGCTATTTCTATAGCTTGGTTATTGTAAAAAGTGTAGCAATGAACATAGATGTGGAAGTGTCTTTACAGTAGCCTGGCTTGTAATGTTCTGGGTAGATGACCAAGAGTGTTATGGCTGATCATAGGGAAGTTCTATGTTTAGTTTTTTGAGGAACCTCTAGACTGCTGTCCAAAGTGGTTGTACTAGTTTATATTTTCACCAACAGTGCAATAGGGTTCCTCTTCCCCCACACCCCAGACAACATTTGTTGTTAAAATTCTTGATGTTGACCAATCTAACTGGGGTGAGATGGAATCACAAAGTTTTTTAATCTATATTTTCTTTCATTGCCAAGGATTTGAACATTTCCTCACATGTCTATTTGATATTCTTACTTCTTCTAAGAAGTCTCTCTTTAGCTCCTTTGCCCATGTATTGGTTGGTTTATTAGTTTTTAAAGGGTTAATTATTTTGAGATCCTTGTATATTTTGGATATTAGGCCTTTGTCAAGTGTATTACTGGTAAAGATTTTCTCCCAGTGTGTTAGCTGTCTTTTTAGCTTAGTAACTATGTCCCTTGCTGTACAGAACCTTTTATTTTGATGTAATCCCATTTGTCAGTCTCTTTCCTGTTTGCTGTGCTCCTGGAACTCTTATAAAGAAAAGTTCCTACCTTACCTATAAGTTCTAATGTTTCTTCTACTCCCTCTTGCAGTAATTTCAAAGTTTTAGGTCTGCCATTTCGGTTTTTGAGTTGATATTGGTGCCTGGTGACAAACAGGTATCCAATTTTATTTTACTACATATGGATATCTTTTTTTCCCAACACCAATTTTTTTCCACTGTATGTTTTTGGCTCCTTTGTCAAATATCAGATAACTGTAAGTATATGGCTTTATTTCTGGGTTTTCTAGTCTATTTCATTGCTCTTCTGGCCAGTTTTTATTATAATAGCGCTGTAATAGAACTTGAGGTCTAAGAGCAGTGATATCACCAGCATTGATTTTTTTTGTTTTTTGTTTTGTTTTGTTTTTATTTTTACTTAGAATTGCTTTGGGGTATTTGAGGTCTCCTGTTCCATATGAATTTGCAGATTTTAAAAAAAAATCTTGGTGAAGAAGCTCATTGTGACTTTCATGGGGATTTCATTTAATTTGTAGAAGATCTTTGGCAGCATGTGATTCTTGCTTTTTGGGGTGGGGGGGGAAGGTCTGGTCGTGGGGCCTGAACTCTGGGCCTGGGCACTATCCCTCAGCTCTTCAGCTCAAGGCTAGCACTCTACCACTTGAGCCACAGCGCCACTTCCGGCTTTTTTCGTTTTGCTTATGTGGTGCTGAGGAATCAAACCCAGGGTCTCATGCATGCAAAGCAAGCACTCTACTACTGAGCCACCTTCCCAGCCCGATTCTTGCTTTTAAGGAAAAGTTTTTCCTTCATTTGTCTAATATTTTGTTAACAATGGGGGCTGATGGAAGTAATCCATCCCTTTGTTATCAGAAGTAGAAACTATCCTTACCTGATCTTTAACAGTTGTGTGAGGTTTTTGTGGCAGATACAGAACTAGGCTGCCTTTAGGGATAAAGAAACCAAGCTGAGGTTGAGAGGTACCAGACTATAAGATTATTCAGTGATATGATGTAATCTGGAACTCCTTTCTACCTCATCTCTGCCTTTCAGTGAATACTGAGTGTATTTATAGAATTGTGAATAAAGCAGGCATCTATTGGAGAATTTCCTTTCTTTTTTGAGAATATAGTGTTTTATAAAATATTGATTGATATTATTGGCTGATACATATTGTTTCAAAATTTTACGGATACAGCATTTTAAGTGGAAGTCATAATTATCATTTTTTTTCTTTCTTTCAGCTGAAGTGAGCAGTGAATACAGTATGGACAAGGCCATGGTTGAATTCGCTATGATGGATCGGGAGCTAAACCATTACATTAAGGCTGTTCAGTCTGCAATAAATCATGTAAGTCTTATTCTTACTGTAGCAGCTCATAATTTCTTCTTAATCAGGAAGTCTCATAGAACAGGAATCTTAAATATGTTCACAGCAAGGCTACCTAGGCTAATTGAAGCATTACATCCATTTTAGGTTGTCTTACATTTTTGTCTCAAAATTTTTAGTCTAACCCCGTTCTATTATGAGCAGATTTTATGCAACTTGTTTTTACTATTGTATTTGCTTAAGATTTAGTTACTCATGCTCTACCTTTAACTAATATGCATCTATTGCAAAATTCTTAGTATCAGATAATATGGAAGAATTTGGAGCAAGCTTAGGAAAAAAGAAGGTTGGCATTTCAGTTTTTCCAGAAGCCAGATTTATCTCTGCTGGCTCCAGCTATCACAGGAACAACAGAGGAGGCAGTTAAGGTGGGAACAGCAATATCCTTTTAGAATACTGAGTTGAGTAAGAAATGAGCAATAGGATTACAGTAATGTTTCTGAGAAGTCCTTTGTCCTGTGAACAGTGGAAACTCCCTGTTGAACTGATTTCATATACCTGTGTAATAGGGTGTCTTGTACTTCTGGTTTCTTTATTTATGTTTTCTTAACTGATAGCTATGGGAAAACTCCAAAACTTGGTTATTTAGTAAGATCAGCTACTGTTCAGGGAAAAATAAAATTTTGACTATTGTCTAATACTTAAGCTAATAAGCAGAACATTATATACTTCTGAGGCTTTCCAGGTGTTTTTTTTTTAATGGATAGTATTTATTAAATGTAGTATCGGTGACTAACATTATCAGTTTATATCCAAGTAAAAACACTCATTCCTATTTTAAATTCTAATTTTTTTTTGCCCCAGTCCTATAAGTGTTTCTTCTTTAGGAAAGATAACCTATTTAGAAATGATAGCAAAACACATAGTACAGATTTTTGTTTTGGGGACAACTTCTCATTACATATCTCAGATTTGAATTCATGATTCTGCTTCTGCCTCCCAAATTCTCAGATTATAGGTGTATTCATCTAGACCAGCATTTTTTAATTTTTTAATTCTAGCCAGTACTTACTCTGAGTATTCTTACTTACACAGATCTGGAGAAGGATCAGGAGCAGGATTAGAATATCAGTATTTTAAAAAATTTATTCTAATATGTCTCTGAAGTTGAATACCCCTGATTTGAAAGAACATGGCTGACTTATAGAATAAAGTATTCGCTACCGAAGATCAGAATCAGGCCATCATATGGCTCAATCTTTCTTTGACCCTTATATGCTATAAAGGGTATCTGATAACAACCTTTAACTTTATACAGTATAAATATATTAGCAAAATACATATTATTGATAAGAAAAATAAGACTTTTTTAGTTTTTTTTTCTTACTAAAATTTAAGATTCACAGATACGTAGTTTTACAATAAGAATTAAACTCTACTCTTAAAAGCAACCTATCCACTCATTAAAAAAAGAAAAGTATACAAAGAAAGCATGATAAATTATACAAGGCTCTAGGCATTCGCACACGGTAAGACCAAAGAAGGATATTTCTAGGAGAGGAACACAAAGGCACAATACCTAGGTACATATGATCATCTAAAATAATATTCATCGAAATGAACTCCAGGAAATGGAGACGAGGTTTTTTTCTTCTTTGTTGCTATTTTTTACTTTTTTGTGTTGTTTATCTGTCTTTGGGAAGGTAAAGGGCGGAGGGCATAGAAATGGAAGGACAAGGTGAAAAAAATGCAACAGTGAGCCGAGTGCCAGTAGCTCATGCCTCTAATCCTAGCTACTCAGGAGGCTGAGATCTGAGGATCGTGGTTCAAAGCCAGCCCAGGCAGGAAAGTCTGTGAGACTCTTATCTCCAAGTAACCACCGGAAAACCAGAAGTAGTGTTGTGGCTCAAGTGGTAGAGTGTACTTCTTCAGCTGGAGAGCTCAGGGACAGCAACTAGGCCCCATGACTGACAAAACAAAGAAGAAAAAAGAAAAGCAAAACGGCAAAGATGCAGTGTGTTACTCACTAGATACTATGTTGAAAATGAATTAAACAACTAGTGAGTGGGGACCAGAGGGAAAAACTAGGAAAGAATGAGGAAAGGAGTGACATTGTCTAAAAAGAAATGTACTCTTTATCTGACTTATGTTATGGTAACCTCTCTGTACATCACCTTTACAATGACATAAAAAATGCATTAAAAAAAAAAAGAAATGCAGCTGGGCGCCAGTGGCTCACGCCTGTAATCCTGCTACTCAGGAGGTTGAGATCTGAGGATCGCAGTTCAAAGCCAGCCCAGGCAGGAAAGTCCGTGAGACTCTTATCTAAACCACTAGAAAACTGGAAGTGGTACTGTGGCTCAGGTGGTAGAGTGTTAGCCTTGAGCTGAAGAGTGCAGGGACAGTGCCCAGGCCCAGAGTACAAGCCCCACGACCGACCAAAGAAAAGAAAAGAAAGAAAGAAATCCTCACTTCGGCCACATTCAGTAGTTAATGAATTGCTTGAAGAGTTACCAAGTATTCTTATTCAACTCAGTAGGAAAGATTATAATTTGAGTTTTATCCTATTTTCAGCCCATACCTCATACTGCATTATGGAGTAAATGGATTTAGTTTCTGATGCTTGTCAACAAGACTTTTGGTCTTTCATAAGAGGAGAAACTTTTTTTTTCTTTTTTCTGATGCCAAATTATACCACCTTTGTAACTTGATATGTAAAGTAGTAAATTATAATTTTTGTAAAGGTTTCTGAGTGAAGTGTTCTACATGACCTTCATGAAGTTATTATTTTCCTGTTTGCTTTGGTGAGATACATGGAGTGAAAACAGCTCAGAGGTGCCAAGATGTCTGAGTGCTTTAGAATAGCATTGATCTAGGAGTCAGAAGCTATTGAAGCCCTAATTCTACGTTATGATTTTTAGTCAAGGAACTTAATCTCTTAGAGCCTCATATTCTTCATCTGTAAAATTTTTGACTTGCCTATTTCATAAGACGATTATGTGAATTAGATTAGATAATGTATCAAAACACTTGGGCATTCATAAAATTTGATGAAGTTGTGAGGTAATACATTATTGCAAAGCCAGATTTCCAAACATTACTCTTTGGGAAGGTAAAACAAGTGATTTGTTAAAATGTACTTTGTTTTTCACACTTTACTTTGGGAAATTTTATTTTTGTTCTACTCTGGAATTTGAGAATCTTACAGATATAAGTGTAAGCTCTTTAGGTTGCAATGTAAGGTGTTCATGGTCTAAAATACAGAAGTTTTGGTATTAAGAAAGAAGGCAGATAATGGCATCTGCATGAATCACACTTAAACTTCTCTGTTACAGATTTTAGCAGCTCCCACATTTCTGTTATGGTAGCATTTGCCTAAATTCTGCCTTACTCTGTGTCTTTTCTGATTATGAATTTTCTCCTAGTCATTGAAAGTTAATAAAAAAAATTACATTTTTATGGTTAGTACCTGCCTAGCAAGCATGCGGCCTTGAGTTCAAACCCTAGTACTACTCCTCCCCAAAACTGCTTTTCGCCTAAGAATATTCAATTTATTATTTGAATAAACTTTTCTTCTACTCTGATCTTCATGGAATTCTGGTAGTACATCTCTGAAAGAGTTTTGGAAGTTTACTTTAGAAATTTAGAGGTCTGGATTAATTTACCAGCAATTCCCTGGGAAGTCCCTTTGGCAGTGAGCAGATCTCAGATTACTTTCCTTTGTTCTTTAAGAAAATAGGCTACTATATTCCATAATGCCTGCAGATTTGATTAGGAATCAGTATTCATTTCAGTGCTCTGAAACTTAAAAAGAAAAGAGTTAATTAAGAGTTTGGTCTGCAAGTTTGTTCAAAGAGCAAAGTTGCAATAAGCACTAAAAATATCCCAGATAGTCTCTAAGACATTCATTTACAAAAAAACATTCAGGATGAATGGGTTATGTACTCTATACGTTTCACATAGATCTCAGGAAGTTCTATGTGAACTGGAAATGTTCTGAAAGCTGTTCAGTGGTACCGTGGGGGAGGGAAAAACTTGGAAAAAATTTTATTAAGTGAAGTAAGTCAGGCCCAAAGAAACATAGGTCCCATAGTTTCCCTTATTTGCAATAATTAGCATATGTCTCAGAGTTATTTCTTTCATCATTGTTAACTGCTGGGAAAATTTTTATGTTGAGACCAGAGTGATGTTCTTAGCATTAAACTTCCGGTAGCTTCATGTTCCTTTCCTTATTTTCTAAGCTCCTATTATTTGGGTAAATTGAGGGGACACCATTGGCTGCTTTTTTGTTCCCAGAAGTCTATTGAATAAATATTTATAAGACATCTATGTAGTAAGCACTTCTAGGTGCAGGAAATAGGAAGCCAGTCATCAAGACCCACATGACCTTCACCCTCAAATGTTAAAAGGTCTAGAATGGGAGCCAAACATTTAACAAAGAGCAATACAAATATTTAATTAATGTTGTGTGTAATACAAGGGGAAAGAAGGCATTCAAGGAGAGTTGCTAACTCAAGGGACATATGTTTTGCATGGACTGGGAGATTTCCTCCTTGAGAAAGGGATGTGTCAGATGAAAGTCAAATGAATCTCAACCTGGGCAATGTCATAGGTAACTTTTGCGAAAAGTATTTCCTTCAATTTTTCTATACATTTCTCTTGTAGATCGTATGGTTTTAAAGCATTTATATCAGATTGCAGGCACAGAGTTGTTTTTATTTCTTTTTTTTTGGGGGGGGGGTCCGGTCATGGGGCCTGAACTCTGGGCCTGGGCGCTGTCCCTCAGCTCTTCAGCTCAAGGCTAGTGCTCTACCACT